TCAATGAAGTGGGCACTCTTTAGGTAGGATTCACATGTTTAAGCAGCGCCCACAAATCGCGTAGATCTCTTCACAGCTCCTTCAGCGCCCAAGGCACTTGCTGGAGGCCTGTTTTTCCAATCTTCCTAGAGCAACAAGAACCTGTACAAGTGTCGGCTCTTTTGGAAAACATCGTGTTTTTCCTCATTCGTTTCTTCAAAAAACACTGTGTTCTTTGAACACATTGTGTTTGGCAGATTTAAGAACCCATAGAATGCCTGTAGACACCCGTCGCAACCTGTCTTACTGTAAATACCGTAAGTCGAAAATTGCTAAAACATCAAGTTTCCAACCAGCTTAACAAAACTTGTGTGTCTTCCACAAACGTCATGTTCTCCTTGGGGTATCACGTTTTTACAGGTTCGTGTTGCTCTAGGTTGGGCATGGTTTTTCATGGTTTTTCCAATCTTTAATATCCGACACATCGTTCTTGCCGGCTTGGGCAAGACTGGATGTTGCGGTTGTCAAAACAAGCGAAGGTGCTCGTGCATGACCGCAAATTGGGCTTGATTTGGCTTGCAGGTTGACGTGGGCCTCTTCATGAAGCAACAGTAAGCAAACCGCTCCATTCATACACCAATGTCAAGCCCGCGTGAGCTACAACCGGGAAGATCAGCTTATATATATGAAAAATATATGGAGACGCCTTGAAAGGAGCCGAAACTTGATCCAGACCCACCAGGGCCCACCAAAAGAGGATGTTTGTTGACTTAGACTGACACTGGACGCTCCAGGCAGGTGAATCTGGAAAAGTTCCAATCACCTTTTGAAGCTCCGCCCCGAGGCACCTGCGATTTCGGCGTTCACGTCTTCACCATGGCTGGTACAGGAGCGCCGATGTCCGTGGGATCACATCACATCCGACAGAGTGATATGCGTCCGACTTTGTTTTTGTCCTAGAAAATGGGACAAGACCCTGTTAAAGCAGGTGCTTGTACCATTTGGTACTCATTTTTTAGGAGTACTTTGAGGGTCGAGATACACAAGTTGCGAAGCAGGGCTCAGAAAACTTCGACAGCCGACAGGTGACGGCCAGTGCCGCAGGGCCGAAAGGGACTCGCCATGTGCCAGAGACAAGAGAACCACTCCGGAAGCCTGGGGGAGAGAGCATGAGTGTCTGTAGTGAGGACGCCTTGTTAAAACATTAATATGGGTAGCAGTCTAGCATGGTTCCAAGGAAGGTTCCTGATGCTTCCTCACAGTTGATCAACTGATTGGGATGGTGCGGTAGGCATGATCGCGTGTAGGCAGTCCGTACTTCTTATTTAAACAGCCACATGCAGGAACAAACATCACGAACGCGCAAGGTTGGCTCTTGAAGTTGTTCATTGTTGCGGCGTTTAGCTTTGGCAGAACAACCTTCCTGCTATAGCAAGAACAAAAAAATGGTTGTTTGGTAATGATTCATGATCTCATCGGTAATGAAATGTTTCAACTTTGCACTCGCAAGGAATTCAAGGTGGGTTGACCAAACCAAAGATGTGTTTGTAAATGAGTGTCTAAGCCCTGGCCGTACAGATTTCCAGAGGTTTGGAACGGAACCAGTTTCGTGGATCAAAGGGAGCATGGACACCGACACATAGGTACAGACGACTCATGCCACATGCCAGTCACTTTAAAATAGGTACAGGCTCCTCATGGCACCACCCAGTTTTTCATTGTACGCTTAAGTTCAGCACATTCTCATCGTCGGCATGAGTGAGTTTTTCAGGATCTTCTCTTCATAGCCCCACCCCTATGTCAGGGGGGCTCATAGCACCACCCCTATCAGACTCATCGTCAGACTCATATGGGGGGCTCAGGAGCGCACTCGTTGCCCACGTCGAAATCCCATGGGAATCCGGGACCACGGTCGTACCCACGGATGCTGACGGCTCGTACTCAGTGGACGAGGCGAAAGCTCAGTTTAGGTGTGTACTGGTAGAGTTTTTGTTAAATATTTGAATTTGAAACTGATGCGTCGGATGAACATGTTTCATGTGGCGCATTGCGATGTTCACGTTTCAACAAGTTCCCCAGAAGCGTACAGGTCGGATTGGGCAAATTCATGCCAATTTAGAATATCAATGAATATCACGCATTCCCGAAAACGTACAATTTGTTGATGATTGTCATCGGGGCAAAAACACAAACAATCATCTTTGGTGGATTTGGGTGGTGGGATTGCTACAACTTAGTAGTTAGGACTTACAACTTAGTAGTTTGTTAGATTTACATATTGCTACAACGTTAGTAGTTAGTAGTTTGGGACTCCAGCCATGGCTTGGTCCATGATCTCAGTGCTTTGGAACAAGTCCAGCAACGAACGTGATCCCTCTTCCTTTTCACCGAGCCGTCGCTGCAGGAGTAGCGGACGCCTTCAGTATAAAAGTCCCTGAGAGCTATACGGCTGCGTGCACAGGCTGAGCAGTGTGTAAAAGGCTGAGCCCGACTTGGATGGAACTTCTTGAAAGCACCTGCTTTCCTACCGCCTTGAGACAGAGCCATGCAGTCCGCCTTCCAACGCTTGCACGGATTGCACGGATGATTTCCTTCTTCAACTTCAGCTGCTTTGCACGGATTGCACTTCTTCTTGGCCCTGCTTTTTTGGGCGACCCACACGACCCAACCACCAGCTGGGTCGAAACAGCAGCAAACCACCCGGACGCCCCGTAGTTTGAGGTGTCGAACTGAACTCATGGGTTGAGTCAGACTGAGTCCATTAGACTAGCTACAAACTCATGTATTTACTGCAGTCGCCGGATTTCTGGGTCACTAACTTCTACTGAGGACTCGAGGCAAGCAGACTTTGTCCATAAAACCCCACATGTTGAGGGGCGAAGCAAACAGTCGTTCTGGCGTTTGTTTGATTTAATTGGCAATGAGGTCCTTTCAATGTAGATTTACTCATGGTATGTTTCGGCGTCGCACTATTTACTGTATCTTCGGCCGCTGTTGAACCACTTGTCCCACCACGATGACAACTTTGCTACCGAATGTCCTTTTCGGCTCACAGCAGACACGCTGAGAGGAAGAAACTGACCATGCTTGGAGCCTCAAGGGTGAGAGTGGAGAAGGAGGGTGTGGGTTAGTGGCTGTGCTCATCTTGGCTGCCATTGGTCTTGAAAGTCTCTTGCTTGCTGTTGTGGTTATATTACTGAGTACAGTGTTCGACTGGTTCTGGTGACGTAGGCAATCAAAGGAAGATGAATTTGTTGAGTGATACAGAGCAGCATCAGGCCATTCAACTTAACTTGGATTCATCAGGCCATTCAGTACGACTCTTTAGACTCACCCAGGGGGCCGACGCCAGTCTTGCAATGCTTGCCAGCTTTGACTATGATCGATTGAGGGTGCATTTAGTTGGAGCAATTGATTGGTTTGTTTATCCGCCCCCCCCACACACGCTTTGTTTCTAGGTTGATTTGGTTTGATGTACTCCCTCATCCCTGAAAACATGGTGGCTGGTGGAACATCATGAAGCAGTTCCACAACTTGGTTGGACATTCAGAACGCCAGAAGTCCGTATTCCCTGCCACATCTTTATGGCAATTAAACAAAAAGTGCATGATATACTCTCTCATCTCATGCTTAAACACTTGGGAACTCATATCAAGTTTCAACATGTTTGAAAGTTTGAACTATATGTTCACCATGTTGTGATTTCTTTGGGGGGGCATGGTCACTTCTCACCCTCCGCTTCCTGCGCAGCCCGCGCAGCTCGGCTCGCCCAGGCTCCAGCTTCGTAGCCTGGTGCAGCTCCAGCTTCGAGCAGAGTAGCTGGGCAGAGATCCGTCCTGGAGAGGTTCTTTCGTTGGCTGTTGGTTCTCAAGAAACCTACCTTCCTGGAGTTGTTTTCCTGTTTGTTCTCGTTGTTATATAATTCCCCACATCTTAGTGTGGGGTTCTTCTTTTCTATGTCTCATCCCGCTTCCCGCCCGCTTCCCGCCTCCGCCTCCGCCACACACACCGAGGCAACACACACCGAGACAACACAGACAGAGATCACACAGACAGAGACACACACACACAGAGATCACACAAAAACAGAGACCACACACACACCGAGACCACACACACAGAGACCACACACACAGAGACCATACAAACCGAGACAATACATACAGAGACAACACACACCGAGACAACACAGACAGAGATCACACACACAGAGACACACACACAGAGACCACACACATCTTAGTGTAAATTGCAATCAGCGACAACACACACAACACACACCGAGACAACACAGACAGAGACCACACACACACAGAGACAACACCGAGACAACACACACACACAGAGAGACAACACACACCGAGATCACACAGACAGAGATCACACACACAGAGACCATACACACAGAGACACACACACACACAGAGAGACCACACACATCTTACGTGGCAGGCACAGCACTTTGTGAACCTCCATGTGCAGAATTCGTGGCAGGCGCAGCACTTTGTGAACCTCCATGCTCCGTTAGAGGCTCTGGCTGTTGCGTTGTCGGCGGTTGTCTGCGGTTGTCGCCGGTTGTCGCCGGTCCGTCCCTCCATTGTGATGAGAGTTTTCACCTGTTTCTTGACGTGCAGATGTCGTGGCAGGCACAGCACTTTGTGAACCTGCATGTGCAGATTTCGTGGCAGGCGCAGCACTTTGTGAACCTCCATGCTCCGTTAGAGGCTCTGGCTGTTGCGTTGTCGGCGGTTGTCGCCGGTGGTCGCCGGTCCGGCCCTCCATTGTGATTAGAGTTTTCACTTGTTTCTTGACGTGCAGATGTCGTGGCAGGCACAGCACTTTGTGAACCTGCATGTGCAGATTTCGTGGCAGGCGCAGCACTTTGTGAAGCTCCATGTGCAGATTTCGTGGCAGGCGCAGCAGTTTGTGAACCTCCATGTGCAGATTACGTGGCAGGCACAGCACTTTGTGAACCTCCATGTGCAGAATTCGTGGCAGGCGTCGCCGGTGGTCGCCGGTCCGTCCTTCCATTGTGATTAGAGTTTTCACTTGTTCCCCACATCTTAGTGTGGGGCTCTTCTTTTCTATGTCTCATCCCGCTTCCCGCCCGCTTCCCGCCCGCTTCCCGCCTCCGCCTCCGCCACACACACACACACCGAGGCAACACACACCGAGACAAC